GATCAAAACGTGAAAATATTTAGAGGCTTTGTTCACCACAGACCTTATTTCAGGCAATTTAGCAAAAACCCATTCAAAAATCCCATAGGCTTTAGAGAGAGGGAACCGTAATGCTAAAATGCTAACTCACTTCCGCGTTTTGGCCTACAGAGTGAAGTCATAACTTGTACTATGGCAAACACCACTTTCGCAAGTTACACTAATAACATCAGTCTCGCTTTCTAAATGCATGAACAAACTGTAAAAAGTAGTCACACATGCAATGAATGCAGTAATGCGAGTCAATGAATTCTGAACTATGTTGGCAAAAGTGGTATAAAAAACCCAATTGATTTTAACAATGCTTTTTGTCAGATGCATTTGGAAATCCCCCATGCTTGGATCCAGCTGTGTGAAGGAGGGCCGTGTGGGCCTGAACTCAGTCCAGCTGCGCACATGCCATTCACTGTCGAGTGAGATCTCCTCGAGGCGAGCCCATCCGTACAGCAGAGCCGGGGATATCGGTCTGGGATCGGGGTTTACCAGCGAACCCGTAAATATGTTCAGGCGTGCTGCAAAATCATCAACTCTTTCTCATCATCGGATTTCTGCTTCTCTTGATTAATTAAAGATAATCGTCTGTGATATTCGTCTGCGATAAACTGTTTAAATGTTCACTACCTTGCATTGCTACCAATCTTTCGTGTTTAAACTCCCAAATCAGAGCCTTTCTCTTAAAGTCCCCCTGTGGACAGTCATTTTGGTGATCAAAAATATTGAAAAAAAAAAAATATCTTGACTGTAACTCGAATTGAATTTAGTATACGTGGTTCTATGAATATGCAAACGAGCCCCGCCTCCACTCACTCACTCACTCACTCACTGATCCAGAGATCTGATTGGTTACAAGGTCGTTTGTGACGTCAGAATCACCAGTGATTTCCCTAACAAAAAATGATAACGTAATTTGGGGAAATATTAGCATTTTCACTGGTTTAGCTTTTAGGGGAAGCTTCTTGCAACATTTTCATTAATTTATATGATAAATATATTCAGGTCAAATAAACCATGCAAGTTGATGTTCTCTTGATTTGTGCAGTAAGTGTAAAGACAAATGTCTATTCGTGATTCTAATTTTTGAGCAAACCAATCATGGTCATGGTTAACTATGATCAAACACGCTCTGGGTGTCTCTGGGTGTCCGTGTTTGGGAGACTCTATGGGCTCTGTGTGTTTGGAGGGGCAGATTAACATTCCTGCGCTGACCCCTCTCCCCACTGCAAGGGTCAGCCCATTCACGGACACTGGGAACGGGGTCAACCAGGACAGAAGCAGATGCACAGCAACAAACCAACACTGACGATTAGCCACGCACTTCGTGTCCGAGGATTAGCATTATATTCCCATGCCAAAGTGCAAACGCTTACATACTGTCGTGATTCAACTCACGTCACGGATAGTCTTGAAAAACGACTGGCAGGACTGAGTCTCGAATGTTCCGACACGCCAAAAGTTCGTCAGAGATAAAATAGGGCTGAACGATTAATTGCATTTAAAAAAGTTCGGAGTTGAACCGAATTACAAGGACATTCGCAGGCTTCATTGCACCGTTTTGCCGCTTTGCTTGATGTTATAACGTTATAACGGAATTTCCTTACAAATGCTTCACAGAGGCATTATTTATGTCTTTAGGAATGCAGTTGGCTTATATATTAAAACTATGAAAATCACTGAGAAGACTGCTCTCATTTTAAAATACTAACGCGTGCTTTGTGAAGAGCGGCTGTGAGCGACTCATTGGTTAAATGTGCATAAACTTGCATTTAGAAATGCTTTTATGACGCGAAATTAATGTAAACACGGTCAGTTTTTAAACCAACAGGACAAACCACATTTACAATTTCAAGAGATATGTGCATTAGTGTGAATGCAGCTTATAATATCTAAACTGAGGGGAAATCACTCCAGCTCTTGAATGATAAACATTCACACAGCCTACATTTAAATACTGAGAGCACTCTTTATTTATTGCTTGTAATGCTTTTTTTGTTTCTCTTTATTTGCTAGCTTTTTTGAAGATATATTATTTTATATAGCCTATTTAAAATTCTTAACGTGCAATTGGTTTAATTAAATGCTTTTTATATGTATATATGTTTAAAGTATGTGTTTTTACACATGTAATTAAATACGTGTTATTAAGATTAATTAATAAAAAAAGTAGATCGGATCATGAGCTGCCTAAAGATTCCCATCCCTACTGTACAATGATTTATTGCTTGTCTTTGTCGACTATTACAGAAGGTAAAGAACTTTTTTTAAATCGCAATCGCAATATTGGTTAAAAAAAAAAAAAAAATCGCAATTAGATTATTTTCCATAATCGTTCAGCCCTAAGATAAAATTTGATTGCATTAATCGGCTGTCGGTGAACATGCCAAACTAACTAAACAAAGACTTGATATCCAAAATCGCACAGCGTGAACCGCCTATAGAGAGATACGAGTGCAGAGCCTTAATGAAATTTAATTAATCAATGAATCCATCAAACTCCAGATCAAAATGTCCACAGACACCAAGTTAAACCCCATCTGTGCTCATTGTCTGGGTCTGAAGAGAGAGGATATGGTTGAGCGGAAGCCAGAAATGTGTGACCCACTTCATGCCAAATGAAATAAACCATCAACGTGACCTTTATAGATCAAATTTGCTTCATATGACCACCAACAGGATGAAAATATGGGCTGAATGTGAGCACACAAACAGATATTGAGTTCAGTAAAGTGGGTGAAGGACTACAGCAGCTGTACGAGGAGACCCAGGGCCCGGAAACGCTTTGTTCAAAGTTCAATGTCAGCATTTGGCTTCAAGGGAAACCCAATATGCCAGTGCACATGCATACAACACCAGTGTGTGTGTGTGTGTGCTGAACGTTGCTGGAATAGCGACTGCTCACCGAGGCATGCTCAGTAACGCTTCGGAGGGTTTAAAGGTGGATTAGTGCTCTTTGCTTTTCACTCGCTCTTGTTTTCTCTCCATGTACTTCGGTCCGTCTCTTATTTCAATCCACTGCTCGTTTGCCTCCACTGATCCTCAGTCGCTCTGCACTTCCTTAATTGGATAGGATGGGATTTCACCTCAATATTGATGCTGGCTGTGATACTGATTGAGTTACAGCACAAATCACTAATGTGGTGACTAAATTAGAGATCCTTATGTTTTAAACGTCCATCCCACGTTTGAATATACAAGTGCACGAGATATTTGAGAGATATGTAAAAGAGCAGCTCGGATATTCTGCATCATCTTTTGCATTCAATAGAAGAAAGAAAATCATATGGGTTTGGAATAACAAGAGAGAGAGAGAGAGCGTCTATATTAATATTGATAAACTAAATGTAGAGTGACACGTGATTTCAGGATTTAATTTACATTGAGATCAGATTCAATCTTTGAATCAAATCAAAATTTCAAAGGCAGTTTTTCTTAAGAAACAAAAAACAATCTCTAAATTATGTAAACTATAGAGGAAAACCCTCTGACTTGGTACATTAGTATAATTAGGGCCCTTTAATTTCCGCGATCACGGAATCGTGGAATTGGCCAATTAACGCGGAATCTAGTGTTAACGCGGAATTTCGCGGAATTTGACATATTTGGAATGAAATTCGGTATTTGTGTGGGAGAAGAACGTATGTCTGGGGAAAATGCAGAGAGACGGGGAAGCAAATCTGGGCGACACAACCCCTCCCGTCATTTCGGCTCATGACGCCATCAAAACAATAGCCGCGTTTCCACTGAAAGCATGGCGAAGCGGCTCTCCACGGCTCTGCTTTCGTCGACGAAAAAGTTAAGAAACTCGTCACACACACACACAATTCCTCTCCGTGCACGTCTGTCTATGAGGTGCCGGACCGAGTGTGTGTGTCCGAGTCGAGAGCGCGCGAGAGAGACGAGACGGCACGCTCAACAGTGCGCGCGAGAGAGACCGAGTGTGTCCGAGAGAGCGCTCGACAGAACCCAATGTGCATACTATGCCGAAATAGTATTGACAGTTACTAATGTCACATCCTACTTAGGATGGATTGTATGCACATTACGACACAGCTAGAGTGTGGCTTTTATTTTAACTTATATAAACTAATATAATTTATTTTTACAGGACAGTTTAAAGCTCATAACCATATTTTGTTGTTACTTGAAGTACTTAGAGTGCATTGTTATGTTGCATCATGCAGTATTTGTCATTTTAAGAGTAAATGCCTATTTTATTTGTGTACATTTTAATCATTAACATTAAAAGCTCTTTTTACAACTAAAATAACAGTAAAGGGTAAAAAAAATTAAAACGGAAAAAACTGAATTTTCAAAAATTAAAACGGAAAAAAACGGAATTTGGGAAAAAATAAAACGGAATTTGGGAAAAAATAAAACGGATTTTATAGGGCCCTATTTAATATCAAAGGGTAAAATTAACACCCTAAACAATTAAAGCCTAAACAATTAAACACAACTGCTATTTATATTTAGATACAATAATAAACACCCAAATAAAAAACGAGTTGTACACAAACTTTTAAATTGCACAATTGCTGAGACTTTGCTTTTTATCAGAAGTAATAAAAAAATTATTAACGAACTATGTCTAGAAATTGTATTCATGCATCAAATGCAAACTGCATAACCTTTAAAAATTTAAGAATCAATATTGGTTTGTTAAAATGACGTTTGATTAAGAGTGTGTCCTCAATATCTTCATCCCAGCCTTTAGTGATAGGCAGGAAAACTAACAAAAGTGATGTTTTAAACTAAAGGTCCGAGCACATCTCGCACAATAAAACATAAATACGACCACACGTTGTCAATCACATTTCGCCCGACATAAAACATTTCGGATCGGGTTTGATTTTCTGTGTTTTTCGCATCCGTAGCACGCGTTTTGAGAGGCGGTTTAATAATTCAGAGCCATCGAATGCCGAATATGAAAGTTTGAGTGTGCGAGGGCCTTCAGGCTGACTCACTATTCCAGAACGAGCACCATCTCGCTGGCCATCTCGTAGACCTCGTGCAGATTGACGACGCGAGGACAGGCTCCCGCCAGCTCCAGGACGGCGATCTCGTGGATGATCTCGGTCCTGCAGTCTTGGCCCTTCCTCCTCTTCCTCATGTACTTCGCTGCAAACTCTTTACCGGTGCTTTTCTCCACACATTTCCTCACCACAGCAAACTTGCCTCTGAGAGCGAGAGAAAACAAGGGGAAGAACGTTTGTTAGCGGTTAGCATACCTCATGCTGTAGCCAGACTTTAGACCAGGGTTATTATCGGCACTAAAAGTTTCAAAGTCTCGACTTTGACAGGTTTTAATGCTTGAAATGTTCAAAAAACACCTTATTTGCCATTGTTGCAGCTCCTCTCTTCACAGTTTGTCAGTAACGCTTTTTCCGAAACCATCGTTCCAACAAACAGCATCGTAGAGGTGTGTATGCGAGCGACAAACGTCGACCAGCGGTTGAAGCAGTTTACTAGACTAGACTAATTTACTTACTAGACAGTTGATTTCTTTAACGATGAATCGTACAATAGTAGTGAACCAGCGAGGGACGGCGCTGTACGAGAAAACACCCGTTTACTTCCTGTCTCTATGAAGCCCCTCCTCCTGAAAAGCACACTGTGCTCTGATTAGGCTTGCCGCGATAGACGGTGTTGACGGTGTTGACGGTGTTACCGGTTTTAAGCCCCATCACCGGTGACATCACTTTCCCACCGTGACACCGCGATGTCTTGACTTTTTTTTTAAAGTATTCGTTTTTGCTAAAATATTTATTTGATGAATTAATTAAAAATAATAATTTTCAATTATTTAGTTCTGAAGAGAGCATTATAATTAAAAATGAACTGCGCAACGCGTGCCGTCACGTCACAGATCAGCAAGCATCAGGATTCCATTTAGCACGTGTGGAGACGAGAACGAGTCAAATTACAGAAAAGCAAGATAATGGCGGAAGATTTGGTGTCAAAACGCAATGCAAAAGCGCCTGTTTGGCAATATTTTGGCCAATATATATTAATGTTAATAAATGCCAATTTATAGTGTTTTACTTTTTTTTAGAGTGCTGTCATTTATGTAGGCTAAGGTCCTTTTTAAAGTTTTTATTTTATATTCGTCTCTTTTTATTTGGTTTTATCTTATTTAAACTTTGTTTAATTTATTTAGGCCTATTTTGTTTTCTTATTCGTTAATAAACGTTGTATTTTTTTTGGGCCCACAGTTTGCCGATTTTCACTTTTTTCAGCCTATGCATGGGGTTATTTTTATTCGTTCGTTATGCTAATAAAAGTCTATAAATAAAAGTTTTATTATCAGCGAGTTGTTTTTTTGTCCATTCAAGCAATTGACGCTTATTTCGAAAGTGAAAGTATAACGCGCATGCATTTAAAAGCTATTTAACCCCCCCCCCCCCCCCCCCCCCCCCCCGCCCTGCCCTCCACGGTGACACCGGGATTACCTAGCTCTGATTGGTCGGCTGTGTGTTGTGATTGGTAGAGCGCTTCGAGTGTGTTTGGGAAATGTCCCGCCCCTTTCCATAACCGCCAGTTTAACACACTACTAACTAACTCAACCAAGCCCCGCCCCTTTATTCTGCATATGAATTATTATAATGAGGAATATTGTGATGATTCAGTAGCCATGTTTCCATCGACACGTTTTTATCCGAATTAAGTGATATCGAATGAAAAATGCCTTATGGAAACAGTAAAATTCGACGAAATTTCATGAAAATCGACTCAAATGAAATACGTTCGGTCTCATCGGATTTTATCTTGATCGATATACGGCTAATGCGATAAAAGCTGATGGAAATGTTATTTGGCGAATAAATAATGAATTGCGATTAAGTTTTAGGCCCTTTTATGGTTGCAACACGCCAGATGACGAGTTTATTTCCGGCCAGTCTGTTTGCGCACACATGACGGATGTCGACAAAGACAGATGTAACGTGGACAAAGCAAAAAGATGCTTTCCGTGAACCACGATCTCGAACTGATGGAGAGCTGTCGTTCCCACACCACAGTCACCTCCGCTGTCGTCGGGCATAAACGGGCATCATCATAGCAATGTTTATACCGTCGTTGTTTTCTTAGGTTAGTTTTGCTTGTTTTTACGTGGCTTGGTTGAGTTATAATGTATAATGTGGTCTGTTATTTCTAGTTAACAGACTGCGGCGCTGCTAGTATAACACCGTTGCCATGGACGCAGTTCAGAGTATTCACAGTATTTTCTTTAGCAGAAGCAATACTCGTTTTTAAATCAATAAACTCGTTTTTAAGTCAATATTTTGTGTCAAATTATTGATTTATATGTAATAAGCAGGATAATATATAGCGAGGCGGTTGTTATAGCGAATACAACCCCTTCAACAACCGCCTCGCATACATTATCCCTTAAACATGTCGCTATCAGCTGGCGCATAAGCATTATTAGGCTTTAACTTGTGAAATATTGATCATTTGTTGGTAGATGCCGCGAGTTTTGTCTAACAAAACTTTGTTCGCAAAAGTTTGCTTGAATGATGTTCGATTCAGTGCGAAAATAAATGGAAACACCTTAAAATGTCTCAAATCAATTCGATAAACCAATTTTATTCCAAAACAGCATGTGACGTCATTACGTACAGGTTTTTATATTCGCTTTAAAGCCGTTGGATGGAAACACTCTTTTCACCAGCTTTATCCGCATGAGTTTTTTTAACCGAACTTCAGATTGACAAGTGGATGGAAACATGGCTACTGTGTGAATACGATTTGCTACTTCTAAAAAAAAAAAAAAAAAGAGAGCTTTTACACCACCAGTCTGACATACTAGTAGAGATCACATTTCCATGCATCCCATTAAACGGTCACATACACACACAAAACAACTTTGTTCAGGGCCTCTTTTCATTTGATGCGGTGAAAGGCCCGGAGCCGCGGGTTTGCGGCAGTGAAAGGGGTTAGAGGGTACATCTAAAGATGGCACACTTGTTATCACCGCGCCTTTGTCCCCCGGCATATTTGCGGGATGAAATCATCCCAAAGCCCGAACTGTCCCTCTGTGTCCCAGTTTAGCACTGAACTTGAAGATGCAGGGGCAGACGACGAGGAAGAGAAGGAAAAACAACACACACACACACACACGGGAACATGTCGGCCGAGAGGATTCTTGAGGAAAGTGTTGTATTGCGAGTTTGAGACGACACCGCCCCACTGAGCTAACTACCATGTTCCCTACAGCCCGGGGAGTGGAGATTGTGTGTGTGTGTGTGTGTGTGTGAATGTTGTGCCACATTGGCAGTCTGTTTTTGCTGAAAATGAATTGCAGTGTGTGTTATTTCTGTACAGGTTTCCAAAAAGACCCATCCCTCATCACAGGCCCTAAAACCCACGTTAGAAGAATCTCACTGCCAGAGAAATGCCAAATCATAACACTTTTATTTTCTTCAACAAGGTGTGTGTGTGTGTGTGTGTGTGTGGTTAAAGTGCAAGCAGATCATCTACGGGACAAGCCGGATTCCACCATATCTTATGTACACAATAATAATCGTTTGCATCGTAATCCTTTTATCTTTAATCTATGGCATGCTCGTGTGCGGCTGTGTGTGTAATAAGCAGAGTGTACATTGTGGACCTGCCTATAGGCGCACATTACTAATGCGCTCTTTAAATAACAAAAAAATATATATTACGCCCGCGACTTTAGACCAGGTTTTTGTTGGTCAACGGTAGGGTTGGGTATCGAGAATCGAGTATCGATTGGAACCGGGACTAACTTTTCGTTTTTCCCGGAATCGTTCAAAAGTTAAAATTTCGATCCCTAGTTTCGATATTCACAGTCCGCCGAGCGGAAGAAGAAACCGCTGAACAACACCAACGAAGAAGCGTCTACCGGAAGTGTTGGCATAACCGCGCGAGTCGAACATGAGTAGCTTACGTCGTCGGTCCAAAGTGTGGCTTCACTTTTCTAAAAATTAACGAAATCTCGGCAAAATGCTAAATTTGTGACAAAAGGAGTATTTCCTTCAGAAAGGCCGTTGGTTAGCAAGGTTAGCTAAACTTTTTTGACCCTGCCTCTTAAAAGAATCGAAATCGAGAATCGTTAGGAACCGGAATCGAAACAAGGAATCGGAATCAGAATCGTTCAAATTCAAACGATACCCAACCCTACTCAACGGCTCAGTTTATTTCAGTTCCTCAAAATAACAACGCTCCAACAACGCGCCTGAACACACATCGTTCTCAGACCATGGGTGCAAATGCATTTGCTAATTCAACAATGTGGCGGAAAAGGTGAAAATAAAAATTGCGTCGGGCTGAAACTAGCAAAAAACACTTGCTTTTTCGGATAAGGCCCATGATGTTTGCCAAGGACAGGCATTCCTGCACGCTCTTCACTGCGACCGACACTGGAGAAACGCAAGATCAGCAGAACATCTGCTGGACTAGCTCACCTGCCATCTGCTAAAGGCATCCTGATAGCAAACACGAATCCATGCAGGAATGTGGAAATGGACCGAAGACGACTTCATGCACTCTTTGTGCAAACATGAGCAACATTCAGTCACATTCAACTGTCAACTCATGAAAAAACCTACACAGGCAAACGTATTGTTCTTATGTTTTAATTGGCTGGCTGAACCAAAATGGTTGGACTGACCAGGCTCATGTGAGAGTCATGGGTTCAGAAAGGGTTTCAGCCATCAAAGGAAGTTTTCCTTTATTTTCCATCGCCGTTCAGTCCAGATCTCCTGAGATTTACTACACACAGCTGGGACTGCCTTCCTCCTTTCTTCAAAAAATGTGGTGATTAATGGGGTAAGTCGAAGAAAAATGTCCTTGTTCTGGGCCGTCCCAATAAAACCGGGTGTAGAGTTAAGCATCGCCGTAAAGGGTTTTTTCAAGACCAGTTCTTTGCCTCAGAACTGAATGTCGTTTGGGTCATGTGATATGCAACCAAAAACCATCTAAAACCAATGAAATCATTACAAGCTACTTTTTAATTCCGACTGTTACAAATATGCATGTAAACAAAACCTGTGTTTCTCACACCACCTCAGTAACAACTCTGTTTTTACACATTGTCCAAATCGACAATGAGTTTTCTGTAGCAATTTACAGCTGAAAGAATCGATGACATCATCCTAATGTGATTTAAAGGTATAGTACGCTTGAGAAACGTGAATGTGACATCGAGTGCATT